TTGTTTTCCTCTATTTCTTTGCATTGATCACTTATTGGACTCTTAGCCATAAAGCAAATGCATCTGAGTTAATTCTAGTGTGGTGAATGAACCTAGAGGCTATTATACAGAGTGAAGTAAGTCAAAAAAAAAAAAAAAACCCAATACAGTATATTAATGCATATGTATATATGGAATTTAGAAAGATGATAATGGTGACCCTACATGCAAGACACCAAAAGCGACACAGATGTTAAGAACAGATTTTTGGACCCTGTGGGAGAAGGCAAGGGGGGGATGATTGAGAGAATAGGATTGAAACATGTATATTATCATATGTGAAATAGATCACCAGTCCAGGTTCGATGCATGAGACAGGGCGCTCAGGGCCGGTGCTCTGGGATGACCCTGAGGGATGGGATGGGAGGGAAATGGGAGAAGATTTCAGGATGGGAGACACATGTACACCCATAGCTGATTCATGTGAATGTATGGCAAAAACCACTACAATATTGTAAAGTATTTATCCTCCAACTAAAATAAATAAATGAATTTAAAAATTTAAACCCAGAATTACCATATGACTCAACAATTCCACTGTGAGACATTGCTTTGTTGTTCAGTCACTCAGTCATGTCCAACTCTTTGCAACCCCATGGACTGCAGCATGCCAGGCTTCTCTGTCCTTCACCATCTCCTGGAGCTTGCTCAAACTCATGTCCATTGAATCAGTGATATCATCCAACCATCTCATCTTATGTCATCCCCTTCTGCTTGAAAACAGGATGTTCCCAAAAAAAGGTACATAAATTTTTAAAGCATAACTTTTCGAAGAGACCCAGTTTATCTCTCACATCTGGTCACTATCCCCAGCTTCTGTATCTGCTTCTTCCCTGTGGGATTACTCTTCAGGGCAGGCTGGACCCTTGCGGTTTTTCTGCCTATTTGGGGGCACAGGTGTGAGCTGTGGTAGAGTGGCTACTGTAGGAAGTCTTGGTTGCTTCTGGGGTCCCACTTGGGTTAGTGTCAGTAATGGCCAACACCACTTCACCCAGACTCTGCCCCAGGAATGGGTTGCATCTGCAGCCTGGTCAAATCTTTCCTCTGGTTCTGACTACCTCAGATTAGGCACCATGTTGGAGCATGAAATGAGTCAGGCCAGAGAGTTCACCTGGCCCAGGACTGGAGAACGTGACAAGGCAGTTACAGGAAACCCAACAGCTGCTAGGACAGACTTTTTCTGCCCTTCCTGGGGACACACCAGTAGGCACATGCTTTTCAGGAGCACAGTCCAGGCTTCTTCAACCTTTCTATCTGTTTCAGTCATTCTCTTATCCAGCCACGAGGGTTTGTCTCCTCAGCATAGGACCCCAGCAAATGACACTGGGAAAACTGGATATTCTCATTTACAAAAAATAAAATTGGACCATTACCTTATGCCATATACAAAAATTAATTCAAAATTAGTTAAATAGCTAAACACAAGAACTGAAAAATAAGAATCTTAGAAGACATAGGGAAAACTCTTCATGATAATTGTGTTTGAAAATGGTTTCTTAAATATTACAACAAAAACACTGACAACAAAAGCAAAACCTAGAAAAATGGACTATATCAAATCTAAAAATTTGTGTGCAACAAAGGAAACAATTAATAGAGTAAAAAGGAAATCCATGGAATGTGATGTTATGTTATTTTCAAAGCATATATTGATATGGGATTAATATCAGAATATATAAAGAACACCATCTCAACAACAAAAAGACATTTTAATTTTAAAATTGTTAAGAAAAAATTTGAAAGATGTTTCTTCAAGGAAGATATAGAAATAAACAGCAAGTACACAAAAATATGCTCAACATCATTGATTGCTGTTGTTCAGTCACCAAGTCATGTCCAACACTCTGCAACCCTATGAACTGCAGAATGCCAGGTTTCCCTGTCCTTCGTTATCTCCCTGAGTTTGCTCAAACTCATGTCCACTGAGTCAGTGGACTCATCCTCTGTCCCTTCCTTCTCCTCTTGCCCTCAATTTTTCCCAGCAACAGAGTCTTTTCGAGTGAATTGGCTCTTCTCATCAGGTGGCCAAAATATTAGAACTTCAGCTTCAGTATCAATCCTTCCAATGAATAGTCAAGGTTTATTTCCTTTAGAATTGACTGAGTTGGTCTCCTTTCTGTCCAATTGACTCTCAAGAGTCTTCCTCAGCACCAGAGTTTGAAAGCATCTGTTCTTGATTAGGAAAATACAAATCCAAACCACAATGTGATATCACACTTCACAATGGTGTAGTGGCCAATATAAAAAACAAACAAATGTAAAATAACTAGTGCTGGTGAAGATGTGGAGAAATTGATACCCTCTTGTATTCTTGTTGAGAATATAAAAGGGTGTGGCATCCATAGAAAAAGAAGAGATCTCCTCCAAAAGTAATCAATAGGATTAATGTATAATTCAGTAATCACAGTTCTGGATGTATATCCAAAAGAAGTAAAAACAAGATCTTGAAGAGATATTTGCACAGCAATGTTCATTTCATCACTATTCACATTAGACAAAAAGTGGAAGCAAACTAAATGTCAGTAGACCACTGAAAGAATAAAGAAAATATGGTATATACATACAATAGAATGTTATTCAATCTTAGAAAAGGAAGAAATTCTTTCATATGTCACAACATGAATGAACCATGAGGACATTATACTGTGTGAAAAAAGATAGTCATAAAAAGACACACAAAAATTACACATATATGAGGCATCTATAATAATGAGACTCGTAGAAACAAAAAGTAGAAAGTTGGTACAAAGTGATGAGAAGAGGGAGAAATGGAAAAACTGCTCTTCACTCTGTAGAGTTTCTTCTTTGTAAGATGAACAAGTTCTAGAGTTCTGCTGTGGAGCATTGTAAATTCATTCAACTCTGCTTAAATGTACCCTTAAAAATGGTTTATATGGTAAATCTTATGTTGTGTGTATTTACTACACCTAAAATAATTTTTTTTTAGCAATCAAACTCTTAGAAAGGGGAAATAGAATGGTGGTTACCAGAGATGTGGAGAAGGAAAAAAAGGGAATAGTTCAATAGGTATATAGTGTTGGTGTTGCAAGATGAAAGAAAGTTCTAGAGATCTGTATACAACAATGTGCATATAGTTAATACTACTATGTGTATATGTGTGTGTGTGATCAGATGTGTCCAACTCTTTGCAACCTCATGGACTGTAGCCTGCCAGGCTCCTCTGTCTATGCAATTTTTCAGGCAAGAATACAGGAGTGGGTTGTCATTTCTTCCTCCAGGGGATTTTCCTGACCTAGGGTTCGAAACCGCGTCTCCTGGGTCTGTAAATTTAAAAATCATTTAAGTGATCATTTTTATGTTATCTTTTTTTACCACAATAATATAAAAGAAAGGGTTTAAATTTTGTCAAATCATTTTTCCTTAACAATTATATGATAACATGATGGTTATTATTTAACCTGTTAGTGTGGTTGATTGTTGAATACTGAAACAATCTTGAATGCTGAGAATAAAATCTACTGGACTAATTATTTAATAATGGTATATAATTTTTATGCATTTTTGAATTTTATTTGTTGGGTAATTTTTAGGAATTTTTCCATCTGGAATCATAAGAGATATTGTTTTGTAGATTTTGTTGCTGTTGTTCTGTCTTTCTCCAGTTTGGGTAACAGAATAACACTAACTTAATAGAAATAATTGTGAAGTATTCCCGTCTTTTCTATTCTCTAGCAAAGATTCCATAGAACTGGTGTTAATACTTCAAAAGTTGGGTAGAATCCTCCAATGAAAATACCAGGCTCTGGAGATTACTTTTTTAATAAAAATTCAATGTCATTAATGGTAACAGAACTGTTGAAATTGTATTTTTCATATTGAGTACATTTTGGTGTGTTTTCTGGGCAATTGTCAAGAATTAGTTTAGTGTAGTATTTCCATATTATCCTTTCATTTTTTCAGAGTCCAACATGATATTCTGTTTCATTCCTGGCATTGTGACTTTGTTTTTTCTCTTTTTTTCCTTATCAATATCGATAGAGGTTAGTTCATTTTAATGATATTTTCAAGGAGAAAACTATATGTTTCATTAATTTTAGCTTTATTTTTCTGATTTTAATTTCATTATCTTCTCCTTTTTATCATTCCCTTTCTTCTACTAATGAAATAGTAGTCATTGTAGGAGTTATCAGTTCAGTTCATTGACTCAGTCGTGTCCAACTCTTTGTGACCCCATGGACTGCAGTACACCTGGCTTCCCTGCCCATCACCAACTCCCAGAGCTTACTGTCATTCTTCTTCTTGATTTTTCAGGTGAGAGATTGGAATATTGCTTGGATATTCTCCCTTTTCTCTAATGTATGTATTGAGTGCTTTAAATTACTCTTTCAACAATACTTTAGTGTGTGCCAGAAATTATGATGCATTGAATTCTATTTTTAGTCAATGTATTTTTAAAATTTTCCTTGAAATTTCCTCTTTGACTCATGGATTATTTACAAGTGTCTTGCATATTTTCCAAATATTTGTAGGTTTCCTGTCCTTTTAAAATTTTTTATTTATTGGCAGATTCTGGAAAATACACAGCATATGCTTTTGATTTTTCTGAAATATTTAAGTTCCTCTTATGACTCAGGTTAAATCTTGTTACAGGTATATGTTTCATGTACACATGAAAAAAAGAATGTATATCCTAGTATTGTTGAGGGAATTGTTTTATAAAGATCTATTAGATACTGTTGATTGAACTTCTGAGAGGTTATAAAATCGTGGGGGTTTCGTATAGAGGTGCTATACACGGTGGAGAGAGAGATATGGAGAGATACAAAACAAAAATTCCACAACAATATGAAAAAAAAACACGGATATACACAACAGATATCTCCCCCAAGAATACACATTTTAAAAAAAATACTCATATCCACACTGTGTTTTTTTCATTGTAACTTGAGCTAATGAGGAGACTAGTCTTCCACAGAAGTGAGGAGATAAAAAATTCATAAGACAGTGTGTGTGCACGTAGGGTAGGGGTGTGTCAAGGCTTTGGGCATCCTGAAGACATTGCCTCAATAAGCACCTTCACTTGTTCTGACCCAAATGTTACACTTACAAAGATAATTTTCAATCCTGATAAAACATCTAACAGAAATGTCACTTTGATCTTTCCCGTTGCCTTTCATCTCTTCCCTGAAGGATATGTGACATAGGATTTTGTATTCTTAGAACCTGAAAGGATCCTTAGGACACAATCTCGTATCTGCTTGGTTTTCACCCCATAGACAATAGGGTTCATAGTGGGAGGTAGGAGCAGGTAAATATTGGCCACAATGATGTGACAAGATGAAGGAATTGTATGGCTCCCAAAGCGATTAAAAAAGAAACAGAAGAAGGCTGGGCTGTAGGAGAAAACTATAGCACAGATGTGGGCAGTGCAGGTGCTGAAGGCCTTCCGCCGAGCTTCTGCTGATGATAGACTGACCACTGCCCGGAGGATCATGGTGTAGGAGATGGTGATGCACAGGATGTCAAAGCCCCCAATTAGGAAGGCAGCCATCAAACCATAGATAACATTGATCTTGATATTTCCACAAGATAGCTTGGCTACAGATAGCTGGTCACAGTAGGTATGATGTATTACGTTGCCTCTGCAGTAGGGTAGTCGCTTGGTGAAGAAAACCAAGGGAATGATGAGAAATACTGCTCTCAGGAAAGTGGCAACCCCAACTTTTGCAATGACAGGATTGGTGAGGATAGTTGAATAGCGCAGAGGGTAGCAGATGGCCACATAGCGGTCCAAGGCCATAAGCATGAGCACCCCAGATTCCATCCCTGTGAAGGTGTGAATAAAGAACATCTGGACCAAACATTCCTCAAAGCTGATTTCCTTGAGTTGAAACCAGAAGATGCAAAGATCTTTAGGGGTGGTACTAGAGCACATGACAAGGTCAGTTAAGGAAAGCATGGCCAAGAAGTAATACATGGGTCTGTGCAGTGAGTCCTCATAGCGAATGAGGTAGAGGAGTCCACAGTTCCCTACAATAGCTACAACATACATGGAACAGAATGGGAAGGAAATCCACATGTGCATGTCCTCCAGTCCTGGGATCCCATTAAGAATAAAACAGGCTGGTGTCACATCTGTTTGGTTCAGCAGTATCATGATCAGGCTGATATAGTCACTAAGAAGCTTATATGGTTTCACTTTTATTTTTTGTTTTGCTTTGCTTTTTGACCCTCCTAGATTTGGAAAACAGAAAAAGAAATCTCAGTTGTGGTCCTCAATCTGTCTCTTTTCTCTGTGAAATTTGCATTTTAAATCAAAGAATCAAACATTTTAATGCCAGGAAATATTTGTTTATGCATAGCTTAAACCACGTATGAAGTATTTGTTAATTCATTAAATGATCAATTCATTAAACAAATATATATATATCACCTATTATATGCCAGGCACTATCACATATATTGCAACAACATTATTTTAAACAAAAGAGAAAATTCCAATAATTGATGAATAAGAATCTCAAAATAGATAAATCTTCATGAATTTTTAATTAAATTAATTGGTTGCAGTAGTTCTAATTAATTTTTGTTTAATCCTATTTAAATGTTAATTACTGTACACATCTCCTAGTGGGTGTTTTCTTAAGGAAAATCTTATTAATTACTCATCAGTAACACAATAGACATGGTTAGGCTGCATTTAATATTGCTCTTATTTCCAGCAGAGTTCATATTGATGCTTACTGTAAACCAGGCACCGTTCTAGGATTTTACAAAGATTAACACATTTAGTCCTCACTACAAACTCAGAAAGCAATTTTTGATTAATCTGTACTTTGCTGCTGCCGTTGTTCAGTCTCTAAGTCATGTCTGACTCTTTGTGACCCGATGAACTGCAGCAGGCCAGGCTTCCCTGTCTTTCAAACTCATATCCATTGAGTTGATGATACCATCCAACTATCTCATTCTCTGTCAACCCCTTCTCTCCTATCCTCAATCGTTCCCAGTATTAGGGTCTTTTCAAATGAGTTGGCTCTTTGCATCAGGTGGTCAAATTTTGGAGCTTCAACTTCAGCATCAGTCCTTTCAATGAATATTCAGAGTTGATTTCCTTTAGGATTGACTGGTTTGATCTCTTTGCTGTCCAAGGGACATTCAAGAGTTATCTCTAGCACCAGAATTCAAAAGCATCAATTTTTTGGCTCTTAGTCTTTTTTATGATTTGTACTTTAATAAACAAGTAAATGAAAACCCTTGGTAGAAAATTTCTTCATCGTTCAGTCATGTCTGACTCTTTGCAACTCCGTGGACTGTAGCCCACCAGTCTCCTCAATCCATGGAATTTTCCAGGCAAGAATATTGTATTTGTTTGCCATTTCCTTCTCCAGGGGATCTTCCCGACCCAGGGATCAAACCCAGGTCTCCTGCATTGCAGGCAGACACTTTACCATCTGAGCCACCAGGGAAGACCCATAAATGTCATAGATTTTCTCAAATTCTAGCCTCAGGCATAGGTATTAAGAACATTTCGATCCTTTTGACACTACCTCTTCTTCCTCTGTTTTTATTCATTTATTTACTTTCTGGCTCTAAAGTAGTTAAGAAAATTTTACAATGTCTGTGCTTTCAAGTTTAGTGTTGATAATGGTGATGATAAATGAATAAAGGGAATATTTCATGCAAAGATGAGCATAATAAAAGACAGAAATGGTATGGATCTAACAGAAGAAAAGCTATTAAGAACAGTTAGCAAGAATACACAGAAGAACTATACAAAAGATTATCTTCATGACCTAGATAACCATGATGGTGTGATCTCTCACCTAGAGCCAGATACCCTGGAATGTGAAGTCAAGTGGGTCTTAGGAAGCATCACTAGGAACAAAGCAGGTGGAGGTGATGGAATTCCAGTTGAACTATTTCAAATTCTAAAAGATGATGCTGTGAAAGTGCTGCAATCAATGTGCCTGCAAATTTGGAAAATGTAGCAGTGGCCACAGGACAGGAAAAGGTCAGTTTTCATTCCAATCTCAAAGAAAGGCAATGCTAAATAATGTTCAAACTTCTGTACAATTGCCCTCATCTCACACACTAGCAAAGTAATGCTCAAAATTCTCCAAGCCAGGCTTCAACAATACGTGAACTGTGAACTTCCAGATGTTCAAGCTGGATTTAGAAAAAGCAGAGAAACCAGAGATCAAATTGCCAACATCCATTGGATCATTTAAAAAGCAAGAGAGTTCCAGAAGAACATCTAACTTCTGCTTTATTGACTAAGCCAAAGCCTTTGACTGTGTGAATCACAACAAACTGTGGAAAATTCTGAAAGAGATGGGAATACCAGACCACCTGATCTGCCTCCTGGGAAATCTGTATGCAGGTCAAGAAACAACAGTTAGAACGAGACATGGAACAACAGACTGATTCCAAATTGGGAAAAGAGTATGTCAACACTGTATATTGTCACACTAACACTACACCCCCATGTAGTGCTGTTGTTGATGAATTTTGCAAGATCTTACTTTCTCTGAATTTTGTGACTCTGAGAACAATATTTTTATATATACTTAATACACATATGTCATACATGTGTATATTATACATATATGCTTCAAATGTATTATTTCATTAATGCCTGTCACGATTTTTATTTTTAAAGATTTTTTGCCTTTTATCTGAAAGTGTTACTAAAATGTATGGTAACCTTTGACTATTAATTTATGCTTAAGAAAGAGGTTGTAGAAAATTTCTGATTCTAAATACCAGTGATTGGTGAGTCTCATCAACTGGTAGCATTTATTTTGAGTCCTCAGGTTGGAACCTCTGCTTCATTGGAGACAGTTATCAGGTTCATAGCTTTTTTTTCCTGAGGAACTTTCATGTTTTGCTGAAAAAAATCCACAAATCTACATCCTGGAAGGTTACATAACAGGCTGCCAGTGATCTTGGAGTGACATAGTGGAAAGACTGAGGATCTCACACTTCAATGTGAATATGGGATTCAACCTTCCCATATTTAAGGATGCTTCATTCTTGAACTTTGCCACACCTGAAATGTATGTATTTATATTACCTGTTAAACTTTCTTCCCAGAATAAACTTCCAACACCATAAAATAAAAGTACCAATGTTTAAAATGGTAGATGTATTAGAGCTATCAGATTGTTCCTTAGTCAGTTTTTCTACCTACATTTTGGTTTTATCTTCTTGTATTTATACCAAGGATGGCAGGATAAACAACTGCAAAAGGAAAGTTTTTGGAAATAGTGAAGCGATATAGGATGATCATGTTTCTCAAAGCACTTTAAATTACTCTTCCTATGCCATTGTGAAAACCTTCAGTTCAGTTCAGTATCTCAGTTGTGTCCGACTCTTTGCAATCCCATGGACTGCAGCACGCCAGGCCTCCCTGTCCATCGCCAACTCCCAGAGTTTACTCAAACATGAAAACCTTACAGTAATATAAGAGCAGACAGAAAGGAAAACTAAGGAAACTTAGAGTCACATCAAGAAAACTTTTTAGGAGAAATGAACAATTTCTCTTAGACCTGAAGCAAGCTTATATTTCTAGCAGACCAAACAGGCAGGGCAATATTTTCTCTCTTTTGCTTTTGCTTTTCCTATTCAACTCATACTGACATTTTTAGTTTTGTGAATTTACAGCCTTCTCTCCTTTTTTGTGCTCCCCCATCCTTTCCAAAATAACCTCTATATTACATTTTTAATGAAGATTCAACTCTCTTGGACAGGTTAGAGTGCCAATCTCTAAAGCGTCTTCATATGACATAATTAGCAAAATACTTGGCTTATGGTCACAGAATAAATTTGTAGATGAAATCAATTTTCCCACTAGCTTAATATTGTGATATTATAAAATCTTATTATATTCTTGAATCATACACAATATAATAAAATCCTTAATACTAAGACTTTACTTCATACTTGCATTGTATAGCAAGACACTTAGTACATGTTAGATGTCAATAAATATTTTTAATGAATTAACAGATTATGAATTATACTTTTATACTTGACTTTAAACATTGTTAAACTAAATGCTGTAGTCCAAACATTATTATTTGGAAGATATAAAGTAACTACCAGAAGAAACAAAATATAATATGTATCTAATAAGTCACCAGAAATTGTACATGCCCAAAAAATCCATAATAAAGCGGAGAAAACAAAAGAAAACGCAAGAAAGCAATAAAAATAATGTGATAGACAAAATAAGCATATTTGTTTGTAAATAGGATCAATAGTTTAAACTAAAGCATTATTTTTTAAGATACATATATTTAAAAAGAGGCATGTCAGAAAGAAAACCATGCTGAAAGTATGCACGAAAGTTTTATGGGAAACAGAAAACACCAAAATAATATAAACACATCAAGAAATTTGGGAGGAAGTACTGATTTTAGGCGATGCTGAAATGAAAGCAGGAAACTGTTGGATTAAGATCACTTTTGAGAAAAATAGACAAAGACTTGATACAGAACAGTTAAAGTTAATGTATCAAACTGTTCCCTCTTTAGGTACTAAAATAAATTCTCCTGCTCAGTTTGTTGAGCCAGAGTTGAAATTTAAAAATTGGGCATCATTTTTTTAAAATCATGTCACAACTTATTAGGGGATCCTCCATTTCTTATTTTAATGCCATTGATGTTGCTTTAAATTATTAAGACCAAGAGTAGCTAAAATTTTACATGTCACACTTTGGAAATAAAGAATACTATGGATTTACAATATAAGAGTTGTGTTTCCATCAATACCAAAATTGCAATCAACTTTCTTTCTGTCAGGCTTGTAAAGGTACAGTTTATGTTTGAATACATTATATTTTTCAGATTACTTTCACAGATGTTACTAAAAGAAATAAAAATGCCATAAAAATCACAGGCATGTATATATGTCCATATGTTTATGCATATATATAATAACCATTGAAATAAAATAGACACAAATTTGTTTTTGATAAATATTTAGCTAGTGTATACTAAATGCCATATATTGTTGGGAAAATGGTATCAACACTCATTTCTGGTTCTTAATACATTTGAACAGTAGAGAAATCAGGAAAAGTATAAATATTCATAACTGAAAATAAACAGTATATTACTGACTTGCTGTATTCTAAAGAATATTTTTCCTAAATGT